GAGACAAATGGGAACAGAAATTATGCTCAATGGGGATGCACAGTTGAGGCTTGCCTCTCTGCCTGGGAATAGCTTTGGTGGGTGGGCTTGGGTGAGGCTTGAACTCCCAGAGTGGGTGGGGGCAGTTGCTATGCTCTGCAGAAATGCACAGAGAGCTTTCATGTTGGTTCTGAGACTGGGAGGGATGGCTGTCTAAAGACTCAACCAGGTAGAACTTCTCACTATGTTTCTGGGAGCAGTCAGCTCAGCCTAAGGGATGAGCTGATCTCTGATCAACACCGCTGGAAAAAAAAACCACAAAGCTACCATCAAGATCTGCATGCTGACCCTGTGAGCCCTATTCCCTTTCTTTGTTTCTACCTGACTCCAGACAATCTAGTCATGTTTTGATCTTTATTGTGCCCCATGAGGCAAGATAGTTGTGTCCTACTAAGAAACATCCCACAATGCTGGGCAAACTAGATGTACACTTCAACTTCTCTTTTCCCAGTGTTGTGACTCTGGACCCAGGAGAATCCTCTCTGTGTGGCACCATGCCAACTTGGGGGATGCAGGCAATGTGTTCAAAATGAGACCTTCCTCTTACCATTCCAATGTGTTTCTTGGTTTTGTTTTGGTTCTGTTGTCCATGCAAGTATCTCACCCTCATTCTCAGTTTTGAGGTTTTCACATAAATGTGGTCTATGGATAGTTGCTAGTTGGACTTCTGATGGAGAGAGAGGAGGAGGACTGAATCCTGGCCCTTCCAATTCTGCCATCTTGTGCTGACGTCACTCCTTTTCCTATTTTTTTCTTTCACTGTATTGTTGTGGCTCCTCATGTGGATCCTAAACTTATCCATAGTTAATTTGTTCATGATAGATGACAAATTACTGGTCTTTGTGGAGAAGAGAATGGCTAAGTATATTACTCCACCATCACACTGACATCACTCCTCTGAAAATTTATCTCAAACTTCAAATAATCTTATTTTAAGTATATTTCTTATGTTATTATTTTGAAACTATTCAATATCATGCATAATACTTAAAAGAAGGAATTAGGTTAATGTCTTAGGAATCATATTGTTTAGTGTATAAGAAAAGAAATAACAAATTTTCAGTTGAAACTATGCAACCCTCATGTTTAAATGAACCTTATAAAGCAGTTTTATTGAAGTATAATTGATGTGCAAAAAAACTGCCTATATTTAAAGTGTATATTTTTGATAAATTTTGACATATTGCAGCACCCATGAAATCAGCATCATAATCAACATGGTAAACATGTCCTTCACCTCCAAAAGTTTCCCTGAGGCCCTTTGTAAACCCCTCCTTCCAACCTCTTCCCACTCTTTCCCTTCTCAAGCAATTATTGAGATCTGACATCATAAAGAGTTTGCATTCTCAAAATATTCTTTTTGTAGATGGAATCATAGAACATGGACTTTTTTCAGGCTGTTTTTCATAACTAGAGAGATTCATTTATACTGTTAGATATATCAATAATTTAATTTTTATTATGAATAGTATTCCATTGTATGAATAAAATTGAAATGTGTTTGTTTATACACTTGCCTGTTGTACATCTTTATTGTTTCTAGTTGAGCTCACTACAAATAAATCAGCCATGAACATTTGTGTACATATCTTTGTATGAACATATATATTTCCTTTTCTTTGGGGTAATATTGAGAAATAGAGTAGCTAGATAATGTGATAGGCAATAATTTAAAATATTAATAAACTATTGAAGTATTTTTCAAATTAGATGAAGCATTTTACATTCTCATCAGCAATGTAGTTCCAATCTTTCAAATTTTCTTTGACAACTAGTGTTAGTATTTTAAATTATAGCCATTCCAATAAGCGTGTACTGATAACTTTGAATTAATGATTAATTATATTCAATATGTTTTCATGTATTTATTTGCCATTTTTGCTTATTTAACACATCTTTTTTTTAAATTTTAAGAGAGAGAGCAAATATTAGCACCAGAATCAGATATGGTAGGGATGGTGGAATTATCAGGCTGGGAATTTAAAACAACTATGACAAGATGTAAGGGTTCTCCTAGAATGCACACTTTGGGTTCAACCCACAGCATATTATTATTTTTTATATATTTTGGTATTGGGGATTGAACCAAGGATGCTTTACCACTGTGCTCCATCTCCAGCCTTCATCTTTTAAAAATTATTTAATTGTTCTTTTTAGTTATACATGACAGTAGAATATATTTAACATATCATACATACTTGGGGTATAACTTGCCATTTTTGTGGTTGTACATGATGTGGAGTTACACTGGAAATGCTCGTATATGAACATAGGAAAGTTATGTTGGATTCATTCTACTGTCTTTCCTATTCCCATCTCCCCCTTCATTCCCCTCATTCCTCTTTGTCTAATCTAGTGAACTTCTATCCTTCCCCTCACCCAAATTTATTGTGAATAGGCATCCACATATATATTTAACACATCTTCAGTGAAGTGTTTGCTCCAATTATTTTCCTCTTTTATAGTATTGCTTTTCTCTTTCAGTTTTGAGACACTGAAAAATTATTCTGGCTACAAGTAAGTTCCTTATCAAATATATGCTTTGCAAAGATTTTTCCCACTCTGTGGTTCATCTTTTTTTCTATTAATGGTGTTTTTCCTAGAGCAGTTTTTATTTTAGTTTAGTTTTTTAGGAAATATATTTCATCAATATATTCTTTTATAGACTATACTTTTATTGTCTCAGAAGGATTTGCTAACCTCAAAGTCCCACATAATGTCTCTTGAATTTTCTATAAATTTTATAGCTTTAGGTTTCACACTTGTGATCCATTTTAATTAATTTTACATGATGTAAGATATAGTTCTAAGTTCTTTTTTGATACAAATTTATAATTGCTCCATCAACATTTATTGGAAAGATGGAGGCCAACATCACTGATTTGAGATTTTCTTTGTTTTCTAATGTAGACATTTACTGATGTAAATTATTTCTCCTCCTCCTCCTCCTCCTCCTCCTCCTCCTCCTCCTCCTCCTCCTTTTCTTCTTCTATATAAATTTCTTCTTCTTCTTCTTCTCCTCCTCCTCCTCCTCCTCCTCCTCCTCCTCCTCCTCCTCCTTCTCCCCTCTCTTTGGTACCGGGGATTGAACTCAGGGGCACTTGGCCACTGATCCATGTCCCCAGCCCTCTTTTGTATTTTATTTAGCGACAGGGTCTCACTGAGTTGCTTAGCACCTCACTTTTGCTGAGGCTGGCTTTTAAGTTGTGATCCTTCAGCCTCAGCCTCCCAAGCCACTGGGATAAATTTTTTTTTGAGTACTGTCTTAGTGGCCTCTCATAAATTCTGATATGTTATGTTTCAATTTCATTCAGATCAAAATGTTTTTAAGTACCTTTTTGCTTTCTTCTCTGATTCACGAGTTGTTGAGAAGTGTGTTGTTCAGTTCATATATAATTGGAACTTTCTGGAGATATTATTATTAAAGATTGCAAATTTAATTCCATATTATCAAGTAATTCTCTGTTATCTTCCTTAATCTTTTTAAAGCAGCATCATTGAGAATAGACAAATTCTTTATGTGATAATTTACCAGGGAAGAGGTTGAGAGAGTTGTTTTTTGTTTGTTTGTTTGTTTTTTGTACTGGTATTTGAACTCAGGGACACTCGACCACTGAGCCCCAGCCCTACTTTGTATTTTATTTAGAAACAGTTCTCATTGAGTTGCTTAGGGCCTCACTGTTGCTAAGGCTGGCTTTGAAGAGAGAGCTAATTTTTTAAGAGTGGCTAGTTTCCAGTCACCAATTTGCATCACCTTGTTCCCTCAGAAGTTTAGCTTCCTTCTAGTATTATCCCATGGACACCAGAAAATTTAAGGACTTCTGGTTTCTATTACTTCTTGGCAATGAGACAAATGAGAGTCTTCTTTGCAATTTATTGTATAGGCAAAAGCACAAATTAAAATCATTCCCAGCCCACTGTCTTTTAAACCAGCTACCCTACACCACTGCTCCAAGACCACATTCCACATAGGCACACCAGTCCCTGAGCATCTTTAACTTCCTCCATCCTCATGTTCTGTCATGCCTAGTCCCTTGGCCATGGTTTCCATTTTTATGAAATGGTCTTCTCCTTTACTTGAACTGCTGAATCTTCTAAGTCTCTCCTTAATTGACTGTGGCACTTTCCGCAGTCAGAATTGGCCTCACTCACCCTTTCATTCCCTCAACAATTTGTTGTCTGCTCCACTAGGGGCATAATCTTGTGGTATCGCTATTCACTTGCTTCCTTCTCTACTAAAACAACTGGGGACAGTGACTATACCCAAAACAGGGCTGCCACCTAGTGTGTACTCAGTAAATCCTTGCAGAATAAAAAGATTGATATAAATATTAATTCCATTCAATACAGACATCTACATCATGGTGAACACAGTTTTACAATGCCAGTGAGTAGAGAAGTGAACAAGATTGAGGAAAGGTTGAGATGTTAAATTTTCATAGATCCTATAAAAGCACAATAATTTCTTTTCTTGCCTCCAGATTATCCATTCTGATGTTTAGTGGTCATTTAAGAAACAATGTGCCCTGGAAGCACCAAAGAGTGTTTCAGAATTTCTCAAGTCACCAAGCTAACCTAGCCTCCAGTGTTGTAGCCATCCGAGATGGCTTTAATCTACAGCAACCAGTCCTCAGAGATTTATTTATTTATTTATTTATTGGTTGTAGTTGGACACAATACCTTAATTTTATTTATTTGTATGTGGTGCTGAAGATCGGCCTCACATGTGCTAGGCAAGCGCTCTACCTCTGAGCCACAACCCCAGCCCCCTCAGTGATTTTTTTTTAACAGAATATTTCAGACAATGATATATAAAACAAAAGAAATATCTGTAAATATTTACAAATAATCAGACTAGAAAAACAGAAATATCTGAGGATACTTTATTTGTTAGAGATATCTCACATAAAACTCTTCATCATTTTATTAATTTATAAATTTTGTCAGTTGTAATTTAAAGAAAAAATCACACCAAACAATGATGACTCAGGTTGTCTTCTTCTCCTCCCTCTGAAACATACACAAAAATATATATTAAGTACTAATTAAATGAACAGGTGTAGAAGGCAATGGTCTCTATTACCTTATGTCAGGGAAACAGCACATGAGGAAGCCTTCAGGTGGCATTCTCTGAAGGCTGTGAAGTAAACTAATTTTTTTTTTGTATTAGCTGAATCACTAATTTAACATTTTAGGCGTAAATTTGTCCCAGTGTATTTTTTTAAGTAAGCTTCTAAAATTAAATTACATTTATTTTTAAGGCACTTCCTAGCATCTCTCTCACATTGGGTGGATATTTGGGTAGAATCAACATTATACTTAGCCTTATCGTGATTCTTTGTTACCTGAAGGAATTTAAACTCCCAAAGCAGCACGAGTTTTTGAAATCAGTTTTTGACCCTGTAAATTAATAACAAATAAAAACAATCAGAAAAAGTAATGGATGACCATGACAGTCCTACGGGTCACTCTGTAGAATCTGGAGCGAATTCATAGGTATGTATATTAGTCAATTGAGAAAGTAAGGAGTTAAAGAAATACAACTCTAAGGTCAACAAGCTGGGACAGTAGAAGCCAGAGAGGGAAAAAATGTGTAGTCAACTACAAATTCAGCTAAAATTACTAAGCAGTTGGTTTAAGACAATTCTTAGTGACTGCTCTGTTGTTATACAAAGGCATGCTCCTTAATGAGTTCAAAACACTTTTTAATTCTCTCAATATCCTGTTTGCGCAATTAATTTGTTAGATCTTTTAAATCCATTTAACAATATTGATAAATTTTAGGCCAAAAACCATTTAAATTATCATCAATTACTTACAGAGTCACTTACTAGTTTTTTCTACTAGGAAAACAATCAAAATTGCCAATTTGCCATATAAAATTAGAATTCTTCCTAATATTTTAGTGGGGAAAATGTGGTTATTTAAAAAAAAAAAACACGAAATTCTTCAATCTATCTCTATATGAAATTTAAATTATTTTAAAATTATTATTTTAAAATTATCCATTGATAGATTATTGTTTTCCCTTTTTCACCACAGAAAACTCCACACCAAGATTTGCATGTGAAAAATGAGCTGCCCTCACCTCTTCTGCAAAGCAGACTTCCTGCTCCTGGCCCTGGCAGCATGTCTCCAAAAGGCCAGAGAAATCTGCAATGATAGCCTCAAGCTGTTCCTCTGTTATTTGTGGCTTTTGCTTCACAAGGTTAATGAGAAACCTATGGATTTAAACAACACAAAATAAGAGAGAAGTCTGTTATACACTGGTATTCTTCTAAAGCTTCCTCCTAAAGAATTGTCAAAGCTCTAGTTACCCTCAGCCCAAACCACCAGTCCATCAAACCTTCTCCAGTCTTAGCGCACACACCTGTCTAAAGCGCTCTCATCAGAAAGACTGAGGCTGGTCCCATGCCAACTTTCCACTGGTCTGGACTTTTGTAGAATATAGATCAAACACTATTTTATAATTCTGTCATACTTCTATGTAGTGAAGTATGGTCTTTTTCTTACTTGCCTAGATTATCCTTTGCTGTTCTCTCCTCTAAAGTGTGTCTTATCCATACTCAAAGGCCCAGATTTCCAGACCCTGCCACCCACCATGATCACACCTTTACTTAGCACTGGTAGCACCAATTACCCCTGTACTACTCATTTAGCAATGCTTTCCCACTGGAATTAGTGTTGCCTGGGGCAACAGGGAGAGCAGGCCAGAGGAGGCCTTGAAACATGCCTCAGACTGTGATAAAGAAAAAGAGGAAGAACAGGTTTTCCAAAGAAGGAAGACCATTTACAAAGCAAGTGAGTTTTAACATGCATGGGTGTTTGGAGAACATAAATTCTACTGACTTGCATTACCATCACCATTGCAGAACGACTCCCACAATAAACTGCAATGTGTACTTCATTTCTGAACTCCCATGCCACAAGGTTGAATCAAATATGATTATTCTCTCTCTATAAAGCATACTGTAAAAACAGACTCAATTATGTGCCTCCTGTGCTTGTAATAGAAGTAACCACACTCGCCACAAAGATACACTTTAATCTCCCTAAATAGATTGTTCATTTTTCCTTAACCCCAAAATGTATTAAATCAATAATTAAAAAGAGACAATTTTTGAAAACAGGAAATTGTGTGCCCTAATGAATTTTTACAGACCTACTTTCCAATGAGTCTGTGAGAACAGAACTATTTTGAAAGATACCATAGGTGTTTGGGGGATAATATGTTTCACTAATCAGCCCAGGAGTTGGAGAAGTGCAAGAAAAAAGTCTCAACTGCTAGTTGTTATTGCTGGTCTTCTCCATTCTAGCAAAAGACAATTTCTTACTCTTGCTTCATGGTTTGCAGTGCTACCCCCTGGGGTTGGCACAGATCCTTATGGAAGATGAATTTATCAGCAGAGAATGATGGAGGAACATAGGTCTCATCTATCACCAAGCTGCTGAAGCATGGCCTCCTGTTGGCATATGAAGAATTGCAGCAATGGCCAACACCAGGGTTCACAGGATTCACTTCATGCCTGATACACAAGTGTCCAATAATAAGGTCAGCCTGGTTAAAAGAAGGAGAAAGAAAAAAGCAAGGAGTTGGGACATTAGTCACAAAGTTGGTTCAGGTTTTCAGAAAACTTTTGTGATCATTTTTAATGTCCAGTAAATTATAATTAATATTGAAGGAAAAAATTGCTATGTGTGTAGAATCATGTGTTGCCATTTTATAAAACCAGTGCTCACCAATTTGTTGGGGATGAATCTTTGGTTTTAGTGACAGATGTTACCTTATTGATATTGAAGACAGTCTTTGAGCTATTTGATATCAGCTATTTGAAACACCTCTAAAGGGGGAAAAAGTCTCATCCCTGATCCTTGAAACATACATGTTTGTTTCCTGTGTATCTCTAGTTGAGCCTTACTTTCGAGATACAGAGGATCACTTTCTGAAGATAAGAATGGTGCAAACTGAGTTCTCTGCCATCTATATCCACACATACACACAGCTAACACAAAAGAAACAGGGCCAATACCCATGTACCATGAAGGTTTTTCTAATGTGGAATCTTGCTATTTTCCACACTTCATAGACATCTTAAATGCCTAGGAAAAACTTTCAATAAATGTCAACATGCTTTGTGTATACACTATGTTTCAGGTTAATGGGATAGGAGTTACTCAGATTACATAGTTTCAGAGAGCTGTCCTATGAAGATGGTACAATTTCATTCTAAAATGTCAGATGAAAAAGCTGAATCTTAGTGACATGAGTATAGTTTCCAGAATGACACAACTAGTAAGTGGTGAAATGGGCTGGGCGTGTAGGAAAGAAGCCCCAGAACCTCCACTCCCGGATTGTTACACCACCTGGCATCCCTGCAGCTTCTCAGGGAAAAATGTGATCACTGAGTAAGGTAACAATCGCAGGAAACTCTCCTTTTGCTCCTAATCTTTGGGGACATGAAAACCAATTAATAAATAACTCCCCATGGTCAAAAAGAAGAACAAGGAAAACCTGATATATAATTTTATTCACTATTGTGACATTAAGGGAAAAATAATTTTTAAAAATTCAGTCTGTAATCATATATGACATGAGTGACTAGAAAGTAAAGATTATTGCTGTTAATAACTGGAAAGTCATTTTTACTCGTCAGAATATGGGACTTATTTACATTATTCTATACCTTATATCCCGTCAAAGGGAACAAATTGCCCCTGGTATCATTATGATTATAAGATTGTTCTACAAAAGGCAAAAACCTAAGTATGGTTCAAGTCACATGGCAAATTTTAGTCTATTGAGGGTACAGCTTTTTCTTTCTTTTGTAAATTAAAGTAAGCATTTGATGAGCAAAAAGAGGAAATATGAGGTTAGTATTCCATCTTTCCTGCACAGAAAGCTTGCCCAGACATTGTGCAGTAGCCTGGCTGCATTTTCACCAGCCCTTCTAGAAGGACTGGAGTCCTGGCCACAGGCCTACCATTTGGAGCTGGGTTCTCACACGGTCGCCAATTGCACCTCACTGAAGGAGCTTGCTAAAGCTGTCTCCACGCTGGGTTCTCCCATTTCCCCTACATGGGAATTAGAAGGCCACTTCAAGTCAGGCAACAGAAACCAGATTAAAAACTTAAAGAAAACACTCACCGCTCCCTCACCACAAGCCAGTTGCTTGTCCTCGCTGAGTTGGCAACACGTGGCTGCCGTGTTGGCCATTTTCTTGGTGAGGGCCATCAGCTCAGCTGAGGTCAGTTGAGGCACTTTCTTCACATAAGAAACGAGAAACCTGAAAGAAGCATTTTTCACCAAGTCCTGGTGAGTCCATCATGAGTTTTTGGATTCCTTGCTCCTCTCAATGACCTACTTCTGACATCAGAAGATTCGGTATTTGGACTGACTTTGAAGATGCAGCTACTCTCAACATCACTCTCTCTGTACTATCCTCCTCCCAACATGTCGCCATTAAAAGGTAAAATCTGGGCAGAAGGCTGACTTTTATTCCCAACCTCAGCGTCCCACTGATTGTAACTGATTTGTGTGTGTGTGTGTGTGTGTGTGTGATTTTAACTGTGACAAACCATGGAAGAATGAATGTCTTTAAATATTTGCAAGGTTTGAGGAAGATAAAGCCAGTTTCACAGATCAGACTTCATAGGGTCCTAAAAGGGGAAATGGGGACGGCTACCATCTCTCGAGGGAAATGAGGTAAACAGATTTTACTGACTTCCATTAGAAATAGAAACTGAAATTAGAGTAGTCTTGCATCACTAAGTAATTTTAAATCACTGAAAATACTATTTACAAAAACGTACGCATTTTGTAAGTAATATTGTCCTAATTTCTGGAAGAGGCCACAGCTTCGCTTTGCCAGTGCTTGGCTCTCCTGGGTGTATTTCTGTAATTCTTCTTCCTGAAAATACAAACATTATTGGATACATTTTTCTCTCTTCCTGGACTCTCTATATAACTGTATATAAAATTGATCAATATTTTATGCTATTATAATAGAAACCAGTCTTAGAGGTTTTTTTAAATATTAAAGGTAATAAAGTATAAATTTTAAGAATTAAAGGAAATGGACTTGGAGAGATATAGTTTAAAACTTTGTGAATCACAAAATTGATAGCAGAACTCCATCTCTGCATAAAAGTTACAGTTCTTTCTGTACAAAATTTCTGTCTTTCTGGATCTATCCAGAAATGAATATTATCTTTATTCTGTGTACCAAAGAATGTTTGGTTAACAATTTTATTCTTAAGTAAGGCACTATTTGCTGGCTATTAGTTAATAACAACTTAATGTCTATATTAATAGTTCATTGATATAACTAGCTAACTACTAGTCAATAACTAGAATATTTCAAGGAGTTTTTTCAGTGCTGGGATTTGAACCCAGGACCTGACTCAGGTACTCTACCACTAAACTTCATCCACAGCTTTTTTAAAATTTTATTTTCAGACAGGGTCTTGCTCAATTTCCCAGCCTGGCCTGTAACTTTCAATCCTCCTGCCTTAACCTCCCAAGTAGCTGGGATTACAGGTGTGCACCACATCCAGCAGATTTTTAATGGATACTCTCAATCCGTTTATATCAGGTTTTCTCTGAAATTATCAATCAACTTACCCCTTTATCCTGGCATTCAAGAGGTTTTTCAGACTGAGCACACTTCTCCAGTACCTCCTGGTATCCTTTAACAACTCTTAGAATTACTGGGACAGCAAGCTCAGGATGTCTTCTTGAATATTCATGAACAAAACTAAAATATGATATGTGGGGAAAATATCATAAATCCTTGGAATTAAGACAAAATGAAGTCATTGCTTTCCTAATCACTCCTGTGTGATAGTGTCCATGGAAATTAAAAATCAGATAAATAAAGCTGGACATCATGATCTGAACACTGTGAATGACAATACTATGAATATAAACCATGTCCCTCAAGTTGTCCTGTAAAATGGTATTTTATTTTCTTTTGCAGCTCACGTTGGCTTTTCAATTGTGAATTTTTACCTTCATTCGTTGTGCCTGCTTTATGCTAACATTGCTTTAGGCAGTAAGGAGACAACACTGTGTAAGATAAAATGCCGGCCCTCTCCTGTGTTAGAGAGAGGCAGAATCAAGCAAACAGGAGGGAGGTCATCTATCTCAGGTAGTGATCCATCGATAAAGGGAAAGAAAGATGGAAGAGAGGAAAGGAGGTAATTCCCATAAGTGGAGAGGACACTAATTTAGCAAGGGGGTCAAGAAAAGCTTCTCTGGGCAGTAATATCAGACAGAGACCTGGGTGAAGGAAGCAATACAAGTGCCCCGGGCAGGGGGGATCATTTCTGCTAAGATCCTTTTCACCTGAAGATATGCTTCTGTTAAGCAAACAATTAGCTTTAGAGATGTGTTGATGTGTAAACTTAAAGATAACTCTTGAGTTTACTAACTATACTCCCAGATTATAGGAATTGGTCATATTAAGTTCTTCCACCAATAAAATGTCAAGATGTGTCTCCCAATTCTGGTCTTAGTTCCAATTTTCATAATTTTATTTAGCAGGTCAAACAATGTGTGAATGTCTAATTTTAATGTAACAATAGTACAATATTTTCAGGGAATATTAGAAAGAAAATTGGGCCATTATTTTCATTATTGCATCAGAATCAGACTTTTAAATTTGGAAGAACCTTGAAGATCATTAAGTATAATGTCCTAAGAGTTGCACAAATGCAATTCTTTAGTGTTTATAGACACATACAATAAGGGAAAATATATTTACCTGACTGCTTACTTCCCTAAAGGCAAATGTAATAAGAACACGGTCTGTGAATTCTATTACAACAAACTACCCTACTGCAGATGTATCTAAATGTGCCTTGATTTTCTAAAAATATACAACACATATTCAACAAATAACAAATAAACCTTCTATCTATGGAGTTATATTTTTGGGAAAAGTTCTTTAAATATCCATGACAATAAAGCACATTTTTAACCATAAGTCATTCTCATTACAAAATATCTATACCTTATTCGACATTTCAATGTTGACCATTATTTGAGTAAACTATTATAATGACAATGATTCTTACTCCAAAGAAATTGATATTAAATAAAATACACTTTGTACGTAAGCCAGTTAATAACAGATGGTGAAAGCCTCACCTTTGTTAGATGCCTTTCCTTTTTCTCTAGTTATCTGCTTACATCTCTTTCAACTCAGAATATTCTAGCCAGACATCCTCACATATAAGTTTAAAAACCATCACTCTCCACTTCAACCACACAAAGCTGCCAGCCACTTAATGATCTCAACTTGTTGAACACACATTTGCAGAGAGAGCGTGTTACCTTGCTAAGAAGATGTTTCTTTCAGCTGAAGAAAACTGGTTGAAATCTCTATCTCCTAAAAACCTGTTGAGGGTTGGAGACAGACCTTCAGGTTTGTCGTCATTTTCTGCGTGGATTATGCAATGACCTAGTTCAAGTGTGGGCAATTTGCAGCATTCTGCTATTTTGCTTGACAGAGCATCTTGTCGAGAACAAATATATGACATAATTTTTTCCTGTAGTTGGAAACACAAAACATAAGTCTTAAAGTTTTATTCTGTAAGTAGGACCTCAGAGCCAGTTCTAGGGTGAAAAGGAGGAAGGAAGGAGAAAACAGGGAGGGAGACAGAGGGAGAAGGAAATTATGGAGAACAAATTTTCCACTCCATCTTTACTAAGAAGGAAGAAGTAATGATTTTTTTAAAACCCAGAATTGAGGAAAGAGGAAAGAATAGAGCAGAGGAAGGGAAGGAAGAAGAGAGGAAGGAAGAAGAAAGAAGACACTTTCCTTGTCTCCCATACTAAAAAGTGCTTTTGTCACTCCTATCCAGGTACACATTTGTTCAATTCTTTTTCCTATAGTTGTCAGATAAACCCTATTATTTTAGTACAAAGGCCTCAAAACAAGAGGGAAATCAAATAGCAACAAATAGTATTCAAGTTCACCTCTACACAACATTTGCTGCTGGTGTCATGAAAAGCAAAACTTTCCACTCTGTATCAGAACAATCTGTAGTGACCCACTATTCCCACCAGAGGGCAGTGCACCCAAGTGGTCAAAAAGGTCAAGCTTTCAGATACACTCCTGTCATGGGACTGAAAATTCCAGGCATTCTCAGCGGGGTCAATTAGAATCCATTCTTCAGCTTTTAAAATCTAACTTACGTATCATATGAAAATTAACTTTAAAGGAAAAGAGTCCTTATGAATTCCAGTTTTTAAATAGGTTTTAAAAGTAACTATGAAAAACAACAAAATTAGAGCTGTGGATGTAGCTCAGTGGTAGAACATTCAGCTGGTGCATGTGAGGCTCTGGATTTGATTCCTAGCACGGGAGGTGGGGAGGGAAGCTACTTAAGAAAATGAACAAAATTCCCACTTAAAAACTGAGAAAGCTGACCTCAAATAAAAATGAAATAGTTCTTGTTGATGTTCCTAGTCTGTATGTAAACTCCTCTAGATGAGAAATTCAGTGAGGTGGCAAAGTTTCCAGTTCATCCCCCCCACCTCAGCAACTCACTCCAGGACTCTGCTATGCTCAAGGGCTGTCACTCTGAGGCCTCCCCTGCACCTTGGCTGCTTGCAGATTCTAAAACTAGCTGCCATGGGAGTGGGCTGAAATGAGAATTAACTCTGCATGGTCAGCCCTCTAGAATCCAGGTTCCAGCCTGGTTTTCAGGTCATTTGAGCATCTGAGAATAGTGATTTTAAGCTTCCTCTGAGAGGAGAGTGTGTCACAGGGGACCAGAGAGGAAGACCATTGGAAATAGGCAAGACTCTTGTACAATGTCTAAGGGGTCTAGAGTTGGTCCAAATAGCCACACTGCTTTGATCACCACTGACTATATCATGCAAAAAGAATCTGTTGCTAGGGCTTTGGGTTTTGTTTAATTCTCCTAGAGCCCTTTATTCACACCTCTCTTAGGCCATGACTAGCTTTTGGCCTTGTGGAAAAATTTATTGTGTTCTTTTAGCTGTTTTCAATCATTCAACAAATTGTAATAGAATGCCTTTCACATGCCAGGCATTTTCCTATAGAGAGTAAACAAAAAACAGTCCCTGACTTCAAGGAGGTCACTGTCTTATCTCTCCTATCAGACTAGAAATTCCTGGAGGTCAATTTATGCCTTCCTAACAAGTGTCCCTCTCTGTGGCTAGCCCATACAAAGTATGTAATATGTGTTGATCAAATGAAGAAATAAATTGAAGGAAAAAACAACACATTAAAAAGAAAGAGCTTGGGGTTGGGGCTATGGATCTGAGGTAGAGCACTCACTTAGCATGTGTGAGTCACTGTGTTCAATCCTTAGTACCACATAAAAATAAATAAATAAAATAAAGGTAATGTATCCAACTACAATTAAAAAATATTTTAAAAAATAAATAAAGAGTAAAGAGCTTGCCCCTAAAAACCCTGTATGGAGGTCTCCTGGGAGATCATATATTCTTTAGATGTAAGAAATGAATGGGTCCTTGTCTTACAAAAGGGGGCATCCCTGAAATAAAAGCCAGGATCAGAAAAGATGGCTTAAGTTTTATTAGCAAGAAGTGGGTAACATCACTTGGTCACCTAATTAGCCATATCCTGTGACCAACTGAAACCAGACAGCCTCCTCTCTTTAAGAACCAGACAAAAAAAAAAAAAGAAAGAAAAGGGAGCAGAAATACATATTTTTAGGGAACAAGACTCCTCACCCCATCCTGCAGACACTCCAACACATTTCCTCTGCAACACTCCTCATGTATGTGGGCCACATCCAAGACCAGCTTTTGAATTTCAGTAAAATTTGCTCTGGGAAACTTTTGACTCAGCTTAGCAACAGTTCTAGGGGAAGAAGAAAGGATTTAAAAATCAATTTGGGTTAGGTATCAAAATGATGTAGTATTCAGAGAGTATCAGTAATGGTAAAACTCAGAGGAAGAACAGAAACATGTTGTTTCAAAAGAAAAGGAAGCACTTCTTATGTCTTGTCAAGTCCTGCTCAGTCTTTCAAGGCAGTAGCTCTGTACATGGCAACCTGGCCCCCAAAATTATTTGGAAATTGAGATTTTTTTTTTTGGAGATTGGGGTACCAGGGATTGAACTCAGGAAACTCAACCACTGAGCTATATCCCCAGCCCTATGTTGTACTTTCTTTAGAGACAAGATCTCACTGAGTTGCTTAGCACCTCACCATTGCTGAGGCTGGCTTTGAACTCACAATCCACCAGCCTCAGCCTCTTGAGCCACTGGGGTTACAGGCATGTGTCACCACACCTGGTATGAATTTTATGTTTTTACTGCTCGTCCCCAATAGCAAGCATCTGGGATCATTTTAGGGAGTAGATAGAAATATTAAAAAGGCTAAACAATTAAGAAATGGAAAATTCTATGACAATGATAATCATTTTTCACTTTGAGTTAAAAAAAAAAAAACACTTCTGAGAATCCAGGGAGGTGTGCATATGTGCAAATCAAACAAATGGAAGAAGAAAGTGGAGCAGACTGAACATTACAGATATGTCATCATGCCAAGAATTAGCTTGGCCAGAATGGAAGTAAAAAATAAAAATTCCAGGTTCTTCTACTTGTTTCATTAAATTTTAAGAGATGAGTGTGTGAAGCCACTGCTTCTACTGATGAAGATGGATTTTCTTTATAAATTTGGAGCATTAAACTTTAATTACTTAGAGATAAATTATAGAGTCAATACACTCATATCTTAATTTCTATTTTATTACTAAGATAAATTTAAATAAAGTAGTTCATAAATCTATTTTTAAATTTCAAATAGAATTGGAAGGTAGTTAAAGGATAAATCTGACCTCTGCCAAGAAGAGATTTTAGTCAGTTTAGAACTAATGGTGTGAATATAAATTTGCATCTAGTTCTCCACTGTGTATAATATTCTCTAATATGTTATTTAATAAACAAACTCTGAATGAACATACCTATTACTCTTTACAGCAACAATTGATTTAAGAGATCTTATAGCATATTAGGAAGCATAATTAATGTAAAGAATATCTTGGTAAGCCACAAGCTTTAGATTATTCTCAGTGAAGGCTGTTGCAGAGGAGCTAGGAAGACATAATCTAATGAGGAGATACAATTTGATTGCAGGCAGTAACTTAAAGAGTATCTAGGAGACATAAATAATATAAGCCTGCAGTTTCTTCTCCGAGGGTTATCTCAGCAAAACTTTTAGCAAGGAGAACCCAGTCCCAAGATCCTAGGATTCTGATCACAGTGGCCCTCATCAAATGAGACTTCACTCTTTATAATAGCAACACTCAGAAAAATGAACCTTAGTTGCAAGCTAATAATTCTACAAATCTCACCTGCATCCCTAGATAGAGATTAAACTTACATGGCTTGGAAGATGAGGGGTTCGAAAGTTCTCTTTACTGCACACACATGTTGATTTAACAAGCTGCTTTCTTTTAATTCTTTTGTAATCGATGCTGTCTAAGGTGGAAAAGTATAAATAAGGTTGTAAGAAAGTTTGTATTTTCTTTTGTAAGTTCTAACAATTAGGAAAACAGCACATATAGATAAAACACAAGACTCTACAAATTTTTTTGCTATGAACTATAAATGCTATACAATTTTGTGAAACATTACTCCATCATTCTTTGAGATTATTCATTCTTTCTTTTAGATTAGTTGATATGTTTCTATACCAGATTGATTTATTAAAAATATCTCAAACAACAAGATTATAATTGGGGGGATCATGAGTGAATACAGCTATAAGACTTATTTACATATAGCTTTAAGACAGATTGAAGCTTGATAATTTCTGCTCAGTTACAAAAAGTAAATTTGCCTCATAACCTGACATCGAGAATAGTAATAACTCTTAGGAAATTTTTATAGAATTTCGGGTCTCGAGTAGCTAATTGTGGATATCATTCTAGCTTTGCAAACTTGGGAAAGCTATTTGCTTTTTAAACCTAAGTTTCCCTGTTCAATTAATAACAATAATACACCTTAAATTTATTCTAAGGACTAAAAGTAATGAATATAAAGTATCCCAGTTCTCTTTGATTTTTTCTCTCTTCTCCTACTCTTCCCTTTCTCTATTTTCTTCCACATATTTCACTTCTCTCTCTTTTACATTATCATTTCTTTCTCTGGCTTTCCTTCTAGATCCCACCAAACTTAATAATAATTGTTGGCTGAGTGAATGAATGAAAACAGAAAATCCAATTTTTTTTTCTCACAAAGAATATCAGACTGCTGGAAATGCTCTGTTCTGAAAAATAAATAAGCTCTTCACTGAAAGCCTGTTTTCATTTTGAATGTTGGTTCCAATGAATCATAGCCAGACTACACATTGGCTCAGATGTCCATACAAATCAGATACCTTGGTCTGGAAACATTCAGCAGCATTTTCAGCTTTGCAGCAAAGTGGAATCATTTTGTCATAGCCAGCAGCCAGAGAGAGAATGGTGGGCGCATATAGGAAGGGGTGCCTTCTTGATATCTCATAGATGCATCTATGAAAGGAGTAGAAGGTAAAAGTTTCAAAGAGGCATAAAAATAAGACTACTTCTGCTTGGAACTGGACTCTAAAATTTGTTTACAGATTCAGGTAAATGGATAAAGTTGGAGAAGATAATGCTAAGTGAAGTTAGCCAATCCCCAGAAAACAAATGTCAAATGTTTTCTCTGATATAAGGAGGCTGATTCATAGTGGGTAGGGAGAGGGAGCATGGGAGGAATAGACGAACTCTAAGTAGGGCAGAGGGGTGGGAGGGTAAGAGGGGGGGCAGAGGGTTAGTTAGCAAGGATGGTGGTGTGATGAGCATCGTTACCCAAAGTACATATATGAAGACACGAATTGGTGTGAACATACTTTATATACAACCAGAGATATGAAAAATTGTGCTCTATATGTGTAATATGAATTGTAATGCATTCTGCTGTCATATATTTAAAAACAATAAACAAATAAATAAAAGTTTTTAAAAAGATTCAGGTAACAACAAACCACAGGAAAAACTGCAGAGGGCTTTATCTTTGCTCTGTTCTGAAAGGGAAACCAGTCATATTTTTTTCTAGATGCTGTCAGTAGAGAAACTTGGATGGGAGTGGGGGATCTATCTGATAGATAATACAAGATTCTATTATGAAAACCAGTAGGCAGAAGTGCTGACTATGATTCTTATTAAAGTGTCTTTTTCACTGTGTCTACTCAGCCAGGTTTGAGGACTCATGGCCAGGCTGCTGCTGAGCAAAGCTGAAAATTGGACCCTTTTTTTTTTTTTTTTTTTCCTTGTCAGTGCAAAATGGAATCATCCACCCTGACATCCTCCACAGCACAGGTAAGGGCAAGTTCTGCCTCTGGGTTCAAGCAGTAATCAGGAAAATGGATATGATAAAGAAGTAACTACAAACTTCCCAGACTTCCACCTGGGTTCAAATATACTCAGCCCTTTGCTTTCACCTCCTAAGCTTTAATTTCTTCATTGACAAACCAGGAAAAGAAAGAAGATTGAAGAGGAAAAGGAGAAAGCAGCATCAAAGGGTGTTTATGATCCATAATCCATCTTTTATGCCAAGCCCATTTTATCCTCAGCATGCTATGTGCTCAATAAACCTTAACCCTGTTTATGTATCTTAACTATGCCTGGATCTATGATTTTTTTTAATTTTCAGGCAATTTGATGAGCATAATATGCCAATATTTGGCACTGAAAGAAGTCATTTTGTGCAGTATTAATATATTCCTGAGCTATATAAATTTGAGATTAAAGGGGAAAAGGCAGATGTATCTCCAGAGACTAATGCAACAGCTTCTGGGTCCATTTTGTGGTCTGTACTACATGTAGCATGCTGTGCTTTAAAAGTTGCACTTAAAATTGTTCTATAATTATCAGCAGATACAATCCAAAGCATTATTCTTACTTCTCTACACTTCGGAGTATACCAGTAAATTGCAGAAATACTAAATTGTTTGGTACTGCTCCTTTTGGGGGTTTTCCTTACTTGTTCATGAATGTCTCCCTGTCTTCTTCATATGCTTTACAACTTGTGGCAGGTTCTGGAGCTTGGAAGGGTGGAAGGGCTGGAGCAGCCTTCTTGTGAGCAAGTAAGCAACTATGTCTTTCCTCTCCACTTCGGCTGCAGCAGTCTGAAAGTCCATACTTTTCAAAAATTTCCTTCTCATGGCAAATTTCTTCCAGAAAGGCAGACATCTATAAGAAAGCTTTTCTTTTAATAAAAGATAACTATTTTACTTAAAAATTCTCTAAAGCACATGAAATTTTTTTTCTAATAACTAAAGCCATAACTATAGATTAAGAAAATTCCCCACACAAATTCCAACACTTTTAGTTTGGATCTGACAAGATAGCTTTCTTCATTGCCTTTGGGATTAGTAATTTCTGTCCTTGAGTTATACATATGACTATTAGAAAGAGCTATTTTATTTTAAAGGGAAAAGAACCATGAAATATTTTGTCTTTCCCCACTTAATTTTAAATTCTCTGTTATTTTCTCTTTTATGTTATCAATAATTTGGCCCCAGGATATATAAGCTTTCCACATTTGTATATAAAACGTGTTTCGGAGACAATCATTTCTCATAGTCTTTTTATGACAAGACGTTGATCTAAAATCGGATTTTATTTTCAGTTAAAAATAAAAATGACTTCAAAACAAAATAAAAATTAAAGCATTTTTCATTGGTCAAAACTACAGATTTAGCTGAAAAGTTTAAAAACCCACGTATGTCCTTATTTGGTGCTTTAATTTTACCCAATGTGGATGATGACACCAGTATCTCAAAAGAAAGCCTCTAAGGAATACATGTGGTTAGTTCATCTCAGAAAACCTTTTATTTTGCTTTTAAACTGTTAATATTTAGAGAATCCTGAAAATTTTAATTAAGACTTTTAATTTCTAATCCATATTAAATAAAAGAAACCTTTAACTTCACTACAATAAATTATCAAATGGTAACATTGCCTTGAATCTCTAATTGGATATAAAGTTGAATAGGAAGTATATTTTACATAATTTATACATAAATTTATGTATACATAAATTTAAAAAGATTATCAGGACAAATCAAAAATATAGATGCAAAACCAAGATTTTATTAATGCCGAAGTTTCAGAGTTGGAAAACACGTTATTTCTTAAAAGGGTGCCTACAGTGGTCCGGACACACTGCCTTTAGGTCACTTCAACCCTACCATGCAGAGGATTTGGGGGGCCTTTTGTTTCACAATAGGATATCTCTAATCAATATTCATTTCTATATTGAGATAAAATAAAAAGTAACTACTATTTATTGAGCATCTACACTGGGACAATTTTATACTAAAAATAAATACTCATTCCTTATCTAAAGTTTAACTTAACAGGGTCCTATGTTTTGATGCTATTATTTGTTTGCTAATGTTGGCAACCTGTTTATATGTGCTGCGTACCTCACATTTACCTGAGTGTTGGTATAGTTTAATGAATTTACTGAAGATGCTGGTTCTGGACCCATGTGTCTAATTTGAATTCTGATTTTATGGTTCCTTTAAGAATGTGACTTAACCTTTCTTGTGCTTCAGCTTCCTCAACTGGAAAATGAGACCAATCTCCTAGGATTATTATAAAGATTTGATAAATTAGTATTTGTAAGCAAAGCTGATATTCTGCCCACAGAGTCTTAGCCAGAGTCTCTTAACTCACGCACTGTACGACCATTCTGATTCATCAGTGTTATCTGTTATATCATATTTTGATTATCAGTATGTTTGTAGCACTCCCTAGAATAATGACAAGCACATTGTATATTTAATAAAAATTAACAGCTATTACTATTATTGTATCAACCTCCATGATAACTCTGAATTAGACCTAATCTTGTCCCTTGTGCTATAGACAAGAAAACTAAAGCCCTCCAAAGGAGTTAAGTAATATGCCTACAGTCACAAAGAGAATCTCTATAATCTGAACTCCTAGTCACCATGCTTTTATTGTTTGCAATAGCTACTAATTTTTTCATCTGTGCCCTTTGGCAAATCACAATTTATCTAATCCTTCTTTCACACAACACTCTTTAAATATTTAAATGCATGCCTTCTCTGTATCTTCTCTTCTGTATTCCAAATTTTGGTCCAATATCACGGTGATTTTTTTTATTATTCACTCACCTGGTTTTCTAAACATCCTGTAGGATGCTCACCGTCAGTGGGTTTCTTAATTACAGCCAATACATCATTGGCCATTTTCCTTATCTCTGTGTAAGTGGCTCCATGAACAAACTGGGCAAAAAATATGGTAGCCCTGAAACAAAAATGCATGTGAATGCTTAAAGAGCAGATTCATATCAAACACTTTTCTCAAGTATATTTGTTTGATTTTCTGTTTATTGTCTAACTTGTTTAGAGGGTGATATTTGCTTTAAAAAAGAATCTAGTCATCCAGAAGAAAGTGTCAGTCCTGTTTCTTTTTCTTTTTTTATATTTCTCCAGAAATATACATATGGCTTTTAAAAGTCAAAAATACTGGATTTCCCAAAAAAGTTGTTCCTACTTTTACAGTCACCCACTCACAGTAATGCATTCATAATTGAGGGTATCTATATTTAAAGTTTTCTGCTTTTAATTTAAGCAAAGACTTAGTCATTAGACCTCTACTTGTGTCTACTCGCCTCATGATCAAAGCCTGATCCAAGACAATGGTGCTTCTGGACTGATTCAAAGCAATGTGTGTACTTTCTGTAATCAAGCAGTGCCAGCAACACATGCCTTTAAATACCTTATTAGAAATTTTTAAAATGTGGAAAGAAGAAGAGTATCCAAGGAACAATATGCTTTCTGCAAATAACAAAAAGATGGAGTATACTACCTCCTACAACTTGCTACTAAGATTTAAATAGAATGCAGAAAAGGGAACATTATATCTATTGGTATCGATGAGAAAAGTTCCTGAATTCATACATAGTTGTCATTGATCAGAAACTAATCTTCAGTTTCTAGAATCTGATTTGGTTGGCTCCGTGGAATTCTAAGTCATCTAGAGGTTAATAGCTAAAACATTGGCCAAAGTTCTACCTTTTCAGTATCAATTTGAGAGTCAGTACAGATAACATTTCTTGAAATTGTTTAATTTGCTTTTTTAATTTAAAAATTCATAGGGCTATCCAATTTCATTTCATTACCTAACTAAAATTATCTGTGCTTTTCAGATCTAAAGGGCATTTCTATAAGAAAAACTTACAGGTCAACTAAATTCATCTCTGCAGAACATTGGGAAGAATCCAGTGTGGAAGCTGGAAAACAAAAGAAAGTCATGAAAAGTGGTGTTTTCAACTGCATCCAGGAAGAAGCAATCCTGTTACATAAATGTTTGGATTTAAATTGCAACTATATAATTTTAGAACTAAGAAGTCATTAGACATCCCCTATCTAAACATCTTAATTTTATACTTGAGAAAACTAGGAAACTAAGGAAAGAAGTTAACAAAAAAAGTTTATAGTAGACCTAACACTAAAATCTGGACCTCATGTTTTCCTATCATTTGGTTTCCCCCTAAATATGCTCTAATTGGCTTGAATTTTTTTTAAACTTGGAATTGAACACAGGGGTTCCCACCACTGAGCTACATCCCCAGTTTTTCTTTTCTTTTTTTTTATTTTGAGACAGGGTCTTGCTAAGTTGCCAGGACTATCTTCCAACTGGTCAAAGCTTGTCTTGAACTTGTGATCCTCCTGCCTCATTCTCCTGAAGTGCTGGGATTGCAGGTGTGTGCCACTGTATCCGGCCCTATTTGGCTTGAGAAGCAAATGGTTAAAAACATATTTCAGTCATCATTTTGAACATATGCCACAGTTTGTTCATTCATATCCTAGTCACAGTATTGCCTTTTCAGAAAGTCAAATAGTGATCCATTTTTCTGAATTAAGAATAATAATGTTACTTACTTTTAACAGTCTGAGGAAATGTTAGAGATGAAAGAGCCAGGATTATGGCCTGGTATACATACATATAGTTTTTTTTCAAAGTAAATATATACACCAATTAAAAATAATGTACAAAAATTAATGCAACATGGCACGTATGAGGCATTCACTGGTCATATTAAGCACAGCTCTATGATTTTGTAAATCTCTTATAAAGTAATAAGCTTATCTTTCATTTGAATGTACTCACCAGCTAAATCTTTTTTCTCTGTGTGAATCAATAAATACATCAAGGCAAATGAATAAACACAAATTTAAGAATTTTGATCAAAGGCAAAAAGAAAGACACCAAGTATCTCACCTATTCCATATGCATTATTATGCAGTGTTCTGGATTCGGTAAAAGTTAGTAGGAAGGCTAGAAAAATCGATACCACCCACTTCATGGTTGCTGGGTATCCCATTGTTGGCAGTGGCAGAGCAGGATATTCAAAATCATCCTGAAACTCTTTTTTATATCCTCCATGGGCAATGCCTGTTAACTAGTAACCTTTTGTTAGTATATCCATTACTTTATTTCCTTAGGTTGGAAATGGGACATTTTGCCAATAATTAACAGCACAGGGATTATTTGCATTTTATGTTCAAGGACACAGACCTCTTCAGAGTGGAAAAACAATTTGCAAATTCATTCTGTTGTGAAAATATAACAAATATACTTCTCAAATGACAAAGTATTCAAACAGATGCTTTTTCCCTAAATTGCAGAAAAAGTAATCCCTTTCAAATTAAAAATGTTAATGTCATAAAGAAAAAAAACCCTAATCTTGGTATGCAACTCAACTAAATACATTATTTCTTTTAAAATATTAGTTAAAAACTTGTAAACCAGACACTGAACATATTGTTGGACCAATTCACACTCTCCATTAAAAAGTACGTTTCTTGATTATTATATATTTATTGGTTAGCTCAAAAACACTTTTCACCTGACATACATGTTGGTAAAATTTACAGCACAAACTAATAAGCCAGGTGATATACTGATTTTATTTGCTGCAAAATAATTTTGCATGGATGTCACTGGGAAATGGCCCAGCCACTCTGTTCATGTAGCAATGCCAGATGATTATGTTAATACTAATTAATAGGCACACACAAACCCTTGATTTCAAACTTTCCCTGTGTATGTTGGCTCTAAATTTTGGCTACACGTTAGAGTTATTGGAGGAACTTAAATTTCCAATGCCTAAACTGTAACCTAAACCAATTAAATCACTACATAAAAGTAAATGAATAAAATATATTGTTTCCATCTACAATAAAAAATATAAAATAAATAAATAAATAGTGCATTTAAAAATATACATGATACTACAAGTAATTAGGGAACACATTTAAACAAATTTTTTTGTTGATCGCACTTTTAGACAATACAGTTATCACAGTGTGAATAAGGTCTTCAGTGCTGGTCAAATAGGACTCCCATTCATTTGTTACTTTTTACTCACTTTATTCTATGTAACCCCCAGCCCCTGACATTCTGTTTCCTCTGGAATATGCTCACAGGAACAGGCCTGCATCATGTACCCTCCAGTAACCTGTTATCACTGACCTTGTTCAAATGCTGACCCACTTGATTCCAGAACAGAGTAAATGCAGTATAATCCTCCTGATCCTCCTGTCCCTGAGAAGTAGTTTACTCAAAAACATGATAACAACAGCATTAGTTATGAAGAAATAACAGAAAGACATTAGTCATGGAGCACTACTTAGGAAGAACTGAAATGTAGTTTTATGAAGCAAACTATATGCAGCTTAGCTGAGCACAGGCAAATATCTCAAAACTTTCCCCAGAGCCTGGTTCATAGTCAGGACTCAATAACATTTTCTGAGTGAATGATGAATATATGTTCAAAGACAAGAGTTTAAGGCAGAGGAAGAGGCTCCATTTGTCAAACCCCAGGTTCTATGAGCTCTGAGATCTTTGTAATTTTACAAACCATATTTCTGGTTTCATTCTAATATATGCATAACTTGCAAGCCTGGATAATCCAGCTTCTTCATCTTAACAAAAGGTTAGAAGGAACTTACAGAAATTGCCTGGCAAATAGTATGCCTTTACTAAATCAGAAAAATAAATAAGTACATAACGACAAATAGTAAGTACACATCAAGTCAGAGATGTATTGTCTCAGCCACCAACACACTGGGATGTTAATGACAGTAAACCAGGAGTAACAACCTCACTGTCAGCCCAGTCCTATTTGGACCTTTTCTCTGATACAGTGCTGGTTCTGTATCATCCCTTAATCTCCTTCCATATTTTCCCTTACCAATCAGATCTCTGCTGTTCCATGCCTTGTGAGCAGAAAGGCAGCACAGATTCATGTGGATCTGGGGACTAGGTTTGAATGTTTGCCCAGCCACATATGAACTGCATGACTTTGAATGAACTCTTTTAATTTTTCTGAGCTTTATTTTCATCATATATAATGATCATCATTTTATAGTAGATGAAAATAATAGTAAACAATGATCATTATATAGATGATGAAAGTAACCGTCCCTCCTTCTTGATTAAATAAAGACTAAATAAATTAATAAGTGTAAATGGTTCAGAACAGGGCCTGGCACAGAGTAGAACTCAATTGATGAGTATTTTATTTATTTATTTAAGAAACATGTTAAGTCTGCACACCAGACACTATTTTTGATGGGAATAGTCAGCAGCAAGAAACAGTCCAACCATTCTTGCTGAGCCTACCAGTCGCCTCAGCCATCACCACATGGTCTGAAGGATGTTGTGATGAGTAGAGTAAAAAGAAGATATCTGACATCTTTGGAGGGGTCAGTAAGGCTTCCTGGAGGAAGCGACATTTTAGGAAAGACTTGAAAAAGTTGGAGGTAGGCTGAATAAAGAGGGAAAAAAGAGAGTTCCAGGGATGTAAAAGGCAGTGGAAAGGCCCACTGGTGAGGAAGAGCAAGGAGTACTGAAGGAATGGGAAGAAATGCAGTTTCAAAGAGCCAAGCTTAAAAATGAGGGTACTTATTAAATAGAGGGTTTTCGGACAAGGTTGGCAAGAGCCACATCTCAAAGACCTTTTAAATTGAGTTTACAGATCATCCTAGGGCAATAGGGGACTATAAAAGGAAGCACATAAAAGTCACATTTTTATTTTGAAACTGTCTCTATTGTTAGAAAAGAGGGAAAGGCTGAGATAAGTAGACCAATTAGGAAGCTGTTCCAATAACGTGACCCAGTAAGTGGCATGGATGAGATTGGTGATAACGGGAAATGAGAGAGGTAGCTAAAGTTAAGTATTATGAATGAGATAAAATCAAAGTGACTACGTAGCAGAGTACATGTCTAATTTTGTGTATATTGAGTTTAAGAAAGAGTTTAAGATAGAATGACCAGTTTACCCAAACAGTCTTGGTGGATGCCTGTTAACTTAATATAATAATTAACCAGTCTTCCTTTTCACTACAGAAACACACCTAGTTTTCATGATGTCTTTAGAAGATCTAAGTGGAGAAGATGATGATCTTTGGGATAGTGTGGTCTGTCCCTGGAACAAGACTGAGAAGATGGAGGTTTCAGAGTCATGACTTCTAGAGGGTTGTTGTAGTCCTGTGGGTAGATGAGAGAGATTGTAGTGAAGAGAGGAACCTTGAGAAACCAGCATTCCAAGAGATAAAGAGGAGCTTTGAACCAGAGTTTGTATACGAACTGCAAACAATCCTCAATCCATATGTGTCATTGCCCAAAGTTTTGTCTAAAGTACAGAGTTCACATCAAATACCTTCCATTGCTCTAATTCTGATTCTGTTTGCTTTTTCATAAATCCCTGAAACTGCTCAGTAGCAACATGGCATGGTAAACTGGACTTTGATATCAGAAAGATTCTAATCTTGACTGTGTCTGTTATTAGCCAGATGACGTTAGAAAAATAATTTACCTGTTTGATTCTTTATTTCCTCAAATAAATCATAAAAATAATGTTTCCCCTCCATTTTACTTCCATGTATAGATAAAATAATGTGTTTTATATGCTGACACCTACAGGCATTTTTATTAAAAATAACACTACTAGCATTGGTATTAATGTTAAATATTAGCTATATTCTTTCTCAGAACAGTTTAGCTGAATATGTGGTTTGCTAGAAAATGCATTCTCTTCTTTCATGCTTATCAGGGGTCCATTTCATTTCCATGTGTACTGGTGTGACTGGTTTGTTGTTTGAAAGTGTATTTTCTTTTTAATTTCTACTCCCCTTTCCTTTCAGTGCTTGTAAAAACTGAACCCACCCTTTAAGACCTGTAGCTAATTCTCCACAAGCATATTTCTGATTACTCCTGAACTAGAGAAGGGCCCTCTCACTTTTCACAAGTTTCAGCATTGTTTAGGTTGCTTTCTCATGGAAATTCTTACTTGACCTTTATTCATAGTCATTTGTGAGCTAGTCATTTTTCCTGAATATTCTTATGTTGCTTAGCACCTCTTACACAGGCCTAATCTTTATAAATATAAATTGAATGGTGCTGAAAAAAATTATTGTCAAAATTTATGCACTAATTGTTCTTATTCTTTGACCAAATGAATGATATCATATTCATCTTGCTATAAAACATTACTGAAATGTTTGTATTCATATTTTCTATAATATTCAGGGTTCAGATCAGCACAGATCTGAGAAGGGAATGGTACCTAGGGTCTTGAGGTAAAGTCATTGAACTTGGTTGCCAGTTGCAGAGCTTAAAATTAACTCTGTGGGTGTTGGGGTTGTGACTCAATGGCAGAGCACTTGCCTCACATGTGTGAGGAACTGGGTTTAATCCTCAGCACCACATAAAAGTAAACAAACAAAAAAATAAAGATATTGTGTTCATGTATAACCAAACTGAATTTTTTTTTAATTAACTCTGTGTAGAGCAGATATAACCCAAAGGTCAACAGGATGGTTGATCCCAAATCCTTTAACCCACTAGGACCTTCTTGTGCCTTAAGATTTATTTACATTTATCCTAATACAAATGTAATGTTTCATCCATTTATGGGGGGGAAACAGAATAACCACCACTATAGCTTCATTTCCAAGAACTCTGGGATAAGAAGGACTGTCTGCATTTATCCTTGACTTCTTTAGCACTCATTCTCCAGTGCTGTTAAATTCTCTTTACCTGTCTTTTATTTGCTCTCCATATTGGATACCCTCTCAATCACTTTTTCAAAGATATACCAATACAAGTTTGCATCAAAGAACTAGAAATCAAGCATGAAAAGATCTTTTCAGCTGTATAAATACCATCAGTTCTTCACATAGAGCTTCCTGCCTGGTTACTTTGTCCTTAATTCTTCCCATATAGCCCTGGTTTTCACATTCCCTCTCCTCATTCTGATTTTAAGCAGAAAAAAACAATCCTCCCCTCTGTTTAATTTGATCCCATCTAGATTATGCTCTAGAGGTGATTTCACCTT